ATCGCCGGGATATAACGATGAAATAATAATAATTTTTTATTAACAGTAATTATTAACAATAAATGAAAGAAATATGCAATTATGGATATACAATAACTACGTATGTACGCAGTTAATAAGACGAATTTTTATTAATGAATATTAATAAACATTTGATAACGGTCTTATATCGATTAATTATTTAAAAATACTAATAAACCTATGGCTTTGGCGAAAGCGTTTTGTCCAGTGTGTCTAAAAGGGTAAATTCGCTAGTTGGATACTAGCTTATATTACAAGACTTATACAACTAGAAACATATTTATATCAATGGAAAATGCAGTTCTAAAATGTAAATTGTATTGAAAATTTATTTGATTTGTGATTTTTTTAAATTTTGTTAAAACTTTTAAACAATAATTCAAAAAAAAAGTTGACAATATTGAATAAAAATTTTTAACATAAAATTTTTATTAATTGTAAAAAAAAACTTTTTGACAAACTTTTAATGTAGCCTTCATGTGTATTATTTCGATTAATCGTTTAACTTAACTGACATATAAATCTATTCGTTAAGTTTTATTAAATCTATTTCTAAAATTTAATAAAATAAATTATTAACTAACAGTAAATTTACTATTAATAAAAAAATGTGACTAAGATTTTTTGCTTAAAATTTTAGCAGCCTCGGCCCATAATATACTAGGATCTTTAGCATTGGCTTCATTATAATAAAATCTATGATCAGCAGGTCTATATGAATACTCTAATACTTCTTTTTCGGTATTATTTTTGAAAAAACTAACAGACTTTCTTACAGCAAGAAGAAGTAAATTTGGAAACGAAACATCAGCAGCATGATCACCAGCATCATTTATAATTATGTTACTTGATGTAAGTTGACCACCAGGAAAAGTGGAAAAACTTAATTTATTGTCAAGAAGACCACCAACAGCAATTGTTTCAACTTTATGGATTTCAGAAAAAAACAAGGTTATTAATGCACATGCAGATGCACAATACCCATTAGTTAGGATAATGATATCGTCACTTTTCCATGGAAAACGGGGGGTATCTTTGATCCTTTTCAATTCATCAGATGTTAGAGCGTTAAGATACAGGTTAGAAGTATGAGTTTTTCGGGAGCCTATAAACTGATCAGGAGAACTAAATCGATCGCCTGAAGGAAACACTAAATAGAGATTTGGATCATATAAACTATCGGATTCAGGATTTCGCTTCTTAAAATTCTTTTTTATTACTGGAACGGTAAAATCATTAATATTTATCCTCGTTGGGTACGAGTTTGGTTGTTTTGGTGAAAACAATATTGAATTTATAAACAGGGTACAGTAATATCACCACCGTCATTATTGGAAAAATCTAAAATAAGCTGTCAGAATGATATGAATAGGTAAATACGATATATAATGCATGTTAAATACATTTATAGAATTATTTAATTCATACCTTCTTTACTTTTCGTAATTTTTCGAAACCTTCTTGCAGAGAAGATTCATCATTTTCCTTTTCTCCAGTAATTACTGCGACACCAACATTTTCATCATCCAGTGTATAAAAAGCGGCATCATAACCTTCATATATTAATTTTGCATGCGCAATTTTCTGCTTGTTATTTAATTTCGACACTTTTCTTGAAATTAATTTTGTAACTTTGTCACTTGAAGTTGACATTTCATCTTTATTTCTTGACGATGCAACATTATTATTTGGCAAAGTAGCTTCAGAATTTAAATTTAGGCAAACGTTGTCGAAAAACTCAACTCCACCGTCAAATGTAATGCTCCATTTTCTCTTTAATAGAAAAGGTTTTTTTTGAGGGCATAATAATTTATATGTGATAATAGAATTTTCAGGCAGGTCAATTCGTGAAGTAAATTGTGAAGCAAATAGTCCGTTACTGGGAGCCAAAGCCATGTTGAATCGGACACCCAGATCTTTTGATTGTGCAATTGAATTATTTGCAAACTCAATTATCAGTTGCAATGCCGGTTTTCCTTCAATTTCAGTAACTTCGCAATCATTATTCGATGGATTTACTGAATCCTTAAAGACCTTTTTAAATGAAGATAAATATTAGCATCATGCTATGTAATTGACGTTAATGTAATTGCATACACAAGTAACTCTTGATAAAAGAAAAGTAATCTAATACGTAATAACTTTCTAAGATTGAGAATTTATTAATAAATCTCACATATCAGGTAAAATTATTACGAACTGCTTTTGGCTTAACTTTTATATTGGAAGTTTAATTAATTTTTCTTGTATCAAGATTTTTTGCAGTATATTGAGAATTACTTGTATTATATAATACGTATTATTTTTTGAATTAATTTATTACATGTTAAAAAGCTATATAATTACCTTAATGATCTTTATGTTCAATAATTATAGATGATAATTGATTAAACAATTAATGGTATAATGTTAATATTGGCACAGCAACTGATGATAATATCTGAAATTAGTTTACCTGTTTCTGTCTTTTCTTTTTATCAGTAGTAATCACAGAATATAAACTTAAGTTTTGTTCATAATTAAAATTCTGATAACATAGACTTTCAAATCTCGTATGACCATCTTTTAATTTGAAAATAAGAGTTCTTAAAGCTGTCTAATTAATTTAAAACTTTTGCGTTAATATATATATATTTTTTATAAAATATAATGTAGAGATTCTATTTATTATGTAACATACCTTAAAGTCATAATCAGGTTTGAATTTTTTTTTACGCAATGATTTTAATTCACCTATTATATTTATAGGTTGATAAGTAAATCCATTAGGTGGATTTTTATTTGCTTGGTCAAGGAAAACATAATAACTCGACAAGATGTGTGACGCAGAATCAATTATCTTTTTGTTAAAAAAAAAAATATTTAAATATATATTTAGGTAATTTTTAAATAAAAAAAAACATATTAAAAATTACTTGGGCAGCATTTGTAGCATTAAAAGGAATGCTTTTAAAACATGTTTTTAAGGCGTCGTAATCAATAAGTTTTTCCGCATTTATTGCTTTAGTTACGTCACCACATTTGAATCTAGTAGTTTTCTTTGCCTTTGAAGACGGAAAAATGGTTACCAATAATGTCACAAAGAGTATAAGGGATAAGTTAAATGTTGAATAGGCTTTAATAATTTTCATGACCGGTTGTATATTAAAATTAGGATAAGAAGTCTATATTAAAACCAATTTTTTGTCGCTTCTGATAATATATCAGTAAATCCACGTGTGTACTTGGATTTGACATTTCTATCAGGAACCGGACAACCTTTTTATAGAAAAAATTCTCTTTTGATTTTTGCTATAAAAAAATGGGATAATTTACTGTATTTTTGAGAGTTTACTAGAATTATGCGAGTTTACTATGACTATATACGTGAATTACTCCTAATTACCTTACCATAATTTATTTAATTTGAAAATCTATTTATAAAAAATTAGAATAATCCTTAATTAGAAAAAAAAGTGTCTTTGTCTTGAAAATCACCTTCCGACATTTCCGATCGGGTTAAATCGGACAAGAATAAACCTGAGTACCGGTTCATGATCATATCTTAATCATCTTTTAACTTATTGATTCAATAGCTTATCGAATAACTATTAAATATCAATAAAAGTAAAAGATGATTAACATATGAACATGAGCCGGCACTTGGGTTTATTTTGTCCGAATTAACCCGATCGGAGATGTCGGAAGGCGATTTTCAAGGCAAAGACCCCATATATTAATATTTCTATGATCAATTTTGCTAAATTAAATTTGATTTATTTTTAGTACAAAGATTTCTTTCAAGTAGAGAGTGGAATCAGTGAATAATTATTCGAACATCGATCGAAATTTTCAAGCACCGAAATAAACTTTCATTCATTGAGTTTTCAATTGGTTAATCATCAAGCATCGGTTAAA